GTTCCAGCAGGGTGTTCCCATGCCAAGGCACAGTTACCTCTTAGCAGAGGATCACCCCAGTTGTAATCACAAATACCATCTACTACAAGTGCCATTGCAAAACTCACTTCCAGATGCATATTCTATTCTTTCTTAAAAGCCATGGCAACCAAACATCTGTAATTATGCCTCAGTAGGAAGCTTAGTCTCCCATTCATCCAAAGTTCACAATGTCCCCTTCACCCTGCATACTGGTCCTTCCTGTTATTGTCACTGTACTGCATCAGCTCAGATCTTGCTGTCATTAGATACATATTCTGAAGGATCTTGCTACAAATTAAATTTAGGAAAGGTTTAGTATGTTGCTGAAGCTAAGCTTCACAGAGCTGTAAACAGGAACTGATGGTAGCTAGGCAGGTGACTTGAACCTGCTCTGCAACACATGCTGGCAAAAATACCAGCTCTAGGTGGACCTGCTTTAGAAGTGGGTTGGACTAGGTGATCTGCAGAGGCCCCTTCCCAGCCCAGCCATTCTAGGATTCTGTGAAAAGCAGAGACAGCTTAAGTCCTGCACCTACTGCCTTTTTGGAGCAGTAGTGTTGTCCACAGTTCTCAAACGCAAGCTGTGTGTAAAATATGGCTGGGTGACTCGTTGGGAAATATAGTTATTTCCACAGTGATGCGTATTACATTCCTTTAAAAATCATGATGGAGAGAATCTCCAGGGCACAAGCTGCACAGCATTTTCATAGACTACTACAACATGAAGGAATGCTTCTTCCCTTATCCTCACTGCAGTGATCCAGAAAATTCTCATCCCCAAAAGCTCCAGCCTGTCTGGAGAGTTACTCACAAATAAATGGAGGATGTTCCTACTCAGAACATGCATGAAAACACACCCCTTTCTATTAATTCTCCTTACCATGCTTTCCAGAGCACAGTGAGAGCATGGCCTGACCTTAGAGGACACCAAGATCTCCCATCCTGGTCAGACTCTCTGTATGCTTTGTGAGGAGCTCTGCTATCACAAGCATCAGGCATGGTGGGTACATAGCTGCTCAAGAAAAATCAACCCCAAAATTCCACACATCTTCAAATGAATCAGGAGGAGGTAGCAAAGCAGCATATCTACCATCTGCCCACATCAGAAAAATCAAAACCCATCTCCGGTCCAAGGAGAGCACAGCCAAGAGCCCTTGATTGCTGCTGGGCAAACATGGGGCCACAACAAAGCGAAACTTCTGATTTTCTGACAATTCAAGCAGGGACACCAAGCTACACAGAACAGACAGATGCTGGGCATTGCAGACAAAACGGAGACATATGAATTTGATGGGTTTCTTTCCTGAATTTTCTTATAGCCTCCAATATTACTATAGTGACGCACAACACCAGAGAATATAATTGCTGTAGTGATTACTTACAGCCATTACATTAAGCTTTAAAATGCTCCTTTCAAATTGAACAATCTTTTTTTCAAAGTCAACAGCTGGTTCACAGCTTGAAAGTACCAGTTAAGATAAATTAAATTAAAAGTGTAATAAAATCACAGACTAAATTTAATTTTTAAAGCACATGCAAACTCCAACAAAGACTTTAAAATATCTTTCAAAAGCATACACAGAAACAAGAGACAATACAACCAACAATTGTGGTGTGCAGCAACTATGCTCATTAATAAGAATGTGATTTAGGAACACAGCTAAATGTGTATACTTAGAGCACAAAACAAATTCATGCAGTATTTATAGCTGTAGTCCAGGGGATGAATCAAACACAAGTTTTAAATGAGATTTTTGAAAGCTTGGGAGGAAGGCAAAAATGTTTATATATATATGTATAAATATTCTTCCTCTTAAAGTACATAAATGTTTATAAAGTGTGGCTAATGAAAATTACATGTCCCAGCCCTTAGCACAAAAAAGGAATCTCATGTGCGCTCAAGATCAGTACAATGGCAGGAGCCTGCATCATCAGATCTTGAAATGCACTAGTGGAATGACAGGTAAGCCTTACATTTCCAGAGTGTACAACATCACCTAAATGCCGAGAGACTTTCCTCTGACCTGGCCCTCTGTTTGCCATTGGGAGAACATTGTTCACAATTCCAATGGCCTCTACCTCGCTAGCAATGAAGTGCCAAAGCCACACATCCATTCAGACAAAACAGAAAAACATAAAGGATCTGTGCCATCACTTCCTTCCACACTCCTGTCAGGAAATCTTTCTACCTGCAGCAGTGTTCCAAACAAGCTGACTACAAGCCAACTGTCTCTGTGCCTCAGACCTTCAGGCTGCCAATCAGCTGTTCAGCAGTTGACACTTGACACTATGGCACTTGAATAAGAAAATGATAGAAGAATCAGGAATACATATTCTACCTTCTTCATCACAACAGGGTTTTCTGCCTCATGAGAAAGGCTGTTTCTCATTAATGCTCATTAGCAATAAGAAATATCCAATTCAGTTTCCTTTGCACCTGAAACTATAAAGATTGTTTTAAAGGTTTGTTCTTGTGGTAGTGTATCTGCTCCATTCCTTCTTGGGCCGCAGGATGATCCAAGAAATGCTGGCTAGACTTTGGCCTTATCAAACAGCACCTGCGCCAAGCTCCTCTTGAGCTTAGCAGAAACAGTGTCTGTTCCCAGGAAGTGGGGCTGTCTAATGAGCTCCTGTTTTTAACAAACAGCCTTGGAAACTTATTTTTCTTGCCTGAATAACAACCTGAGTGGAACAACATTTTTGTTACCAAAATGTCAAAGGAAGTTACCAATGCAAATTGCAGCCAGGATGAAAAATTACTGTGACTGAAGCCTGCTCTCTTGCGACCCTATAAACAATGGTCCTGAATGAGACCCTTTGAATTCTCCTGGACTGCAGCAGGCTGCAAACAGTGACCTCCTTTTGAGTGGGGCCCCTCAGAGCCAGTGAATTCTCGTTTGCTATTTTCAGACAATTACTGTTGAATGACAAGATAGATCCTGGGCTGATGCCTCCACTCCTCAAGGTTCAACCCTTTGCCTGTTGAGAAGATGCAAAGGCATCTAGTGTGAATCCTTCACTGAATTAGAGGGGAATTTTTCACAGGAATATACCCTGTACAAGGTGTTTAGGTCACTGTGCATGCAAATGTGAATATGATATATAAAATGTACTATAAATGTTGCTCTCTTAAATTTTTAAGTTTAGATTTGTAAGTAAATTAGGCCTGGTTGCCCTATAGTAAATGTTAAGTTAATATTTTGTTAAATTGTTCAACTTGAGCTGTGAATTAAGTGTTGTTAAATTTAAGAGATGTTAAACCTTTGGGTGTAAACTGTTCATTATGTTTAGGCCCAGTTTAGCTCAGTTTAGCAGAGAGGTCCATTCTGAACCCTGTGACTCAGAAGGAGGGTCCTCCTTATTCCTTTTATCCTTGTCATTTTCTACCCTTTCCCTTTTTCCCTGTCCACTCCCCAGCCTTCACACAGATAATTCTGGAGTTGATTCTGGATTTAGATTGATTTTAGACTTTAGTTTGCTTTTTCTAGTTCTTAAACCAAGTAGTAGTAACCTTGTGAACAAACTTTTTCATGCTTCCGCTTTTATATTAAACATGCTTTTTCTGATACCTTCTCCGGTGATTCTTTAAGCAACCTTAAAACAGTCATTCATGACAGCTGTAAAGATTTTATGTTTTCTTTAATGTTGAAGGAGCTTATTTGCAAATATGAAAGGGATTCAAGTTGATATAAGGAAAAAGAACTTTAAAATAGTCTAACTTACATAATTTCCATCCAGCAAAGGTAACTAAGGCTACATGTGTAAGCAATACTGCCTCAGTTGCATCTCAGCAGACACATATGTCCCAGATGGATGTTATGTAATGTTTTTGTAAAATAAGTATTTTCCAGTGATTTCTGAAAGTAGAACTGGGTGTGCTGATATAGCTTGCTCCAGAAAGAACACTGTGTGTCCTATACCCAAAGCAATGAGACACATTCCAAAGTGCCATGCAAAATGTCACCTTATCTCACTTAAAGTTATTTCATCTAGTAATATCAGGGAAATTACAATATGTTGTTCTACAAGAAAGTACATGACAGCACTATTTGTGAGACCTGGCAGCTGCCACTCTCGGCCAAGCAGATGGCAGTGATAAAAACAGTTCAGGGAACAGGTTGATAAAGATATATCCATCATTACACTGTCACGGCACATCTACACTCAACTCCAAGACACCATGAAAATATAGGGCTGTGTTACTCTCCATCAGGAAGACCTTGCTCATCTGAGGAAACTTATGCTTAATAATTAATTCTGTACATATTTTAATCAGAATCATTCATCTCTTGTTCAGAGGAACAGAAAAAGCAACCTGGAAAGACATCCAAAATCTTTAGTCTTATGTGTTCACACTTTTGTTCTTGCAGAAGAGGAGATAATCATTTCCTGTAAAGGCAAATAAAAGCCATCTATGGCTTTCATAGCAGTCATCAATTTATATTCCCATTTAGGTTCCATTTTTACCTTATTTTGCATGGGTGGGGAGGGCACAGGGGCAATGTTAAGTGAGTATATTGTGTATACTGCTCATAGAAGGTACCAGTCAACCACTCCTGGAAGCAAAAACAGCCTAAGCACTGGTGGCAGCAGCATTATCAGCCTGTCCCCACTTCATCCCTGCTCCTGGACACTGCCAACACTGACAGGCACTTACCTGCTGCGATGGCTGGTGAATGCCCAGGCATTCCAAAAGCCCTGGAAACACGGCAACAGATCACCTTCCATGGTACAGAATTTCAGAATGGTACAGGTTGGAAGGGACCACAGTGGGCCATCTGGTCCAACCCCCCTGCTCAAACAGAGTCATCCCAGAGTACCTGACACAGGATCGTGTGCCGTACATTCTGGAATATCTCCAGTGAGGGACTTTCCACACCCACTCCAGGCAATCTGTCCAGGACATCTCATCCACACAGTGAAGGAGCTGTTCCTCAGGGTCAGGTGAAACTTCCTATGCATCAGTTTCTGTGCCTTACCTCTTTTCCTATTGCTGGGCATCACTGAGAAGAGCCTGGCTTCATCTTCTTGCCATCCTCCCTTTAAGGAGGGTATAAAATCCAGAGTGCCAGGCTGCCAAAAGGGATATGGCATTCCTGAGGAGCTGAGCAGCATCCTGGAGTCCTGAGAAAGAAAATCTTCAGTGTTACTTGTTGGGCTCTGGATTGCTAGACATGATTTTGCACTGAAGAAGGTTTAATCTTTAACAAGAACTCCAGACAAGGCAACCCATCTGAGATGACTTCACCATTCACCACTGCAAGCAATTTACACATACTGACTTGTGTTTAGATATTTGGGGCATCTATTTAGTTTTTATTACTCCTGGCCTCACACTCCTTCATAGAACAAAAAAATGCTTTCTCTATCTGCTAATTCAAACTGGCTATTCCTCACCAGACTTCAGCTACATTCGCCTAGGGAAGAATCAAATAAATATGTACAAGCAAGCAGATGGTGTCATTTTAAAAACTGATCCACCTAATACAAACATCCTACTTTGGACTTAAGTGGCGAACCACTAAGCAAGTGTCTTGATGTAACTTTAATAAAATTCAAAAACAAATCACAGGACTTTGTTCATCAACTCTAATCAGCAAATGAGTAAAGACTGCTATAAAGGAGAATACTCCTATAAATAATTTTTTTAAAAAAATTAAATTCTAGACAGGGCAAATACTCTCTGGCCAATATGCTTTTCAATGAAGGCAAATGCAAACTAAGACACAGAGTGTATTTTTTATACTTGGTGTAACTAATCACTTTTTCACCAGTAGCACATAAGGTAACATCAACTGTGGGTCCTGGAATCTATCACTGTAAATAGGAGAGAAATACAGATAGTTTTATCTGTATACAGATGGCATTATCTCCCTTAATTGTGTGCCTGTTCATTTGGTTTTTTTAAATAGATAACTTCTTTCTGAAAGTCCATGCAAGGAGAAAAAGAGATGGCTGAAGCATATTTAAAAATACACAGAATACAAAAGAGAACAAAAAGCACAGACTGTAAATCAGGAAGCAGCAGGGAACCAAGTTTTCTTCCATGCCTTAGGGAACATTTTCTACAAGGTTAGGCAGTCTGCTTTCCACAATCTTAAAAAATTTTTACTTCTGATAAAAACAAGTTTCAGTGATTGTGGCATAATCCATGGAACTCTTTTTCCCATCAATTTCTGCAGGTTAGACACATGACAGTAATCTTTGTTCTTTGGCAGCAGGAATTAAATTCTCTCTTCTTGACCTAAAATGGAAATGTCTAGCACTGAAGTCATCCACTTCCTTGGTCAGGCAGCTCACACAAAACATCTGCAGTAGCTTACAGGCATTTCAAAACTAGCATGCATTATTGCAAGGTTAACTGCTCTGAGAGCTAAACTTCCCAATTCAGCATTTGCAAATCTGTTGGGTTTTTTTCCCTCAATGAGGACAATTTCAACCAAGTTATTAAGATGCAGCATGATATTATGAGATTTTAGTGGATTTTCCTCCAAGAGGCCAAACACACAAGACTCAGTACACACCCTAAGACCTGAGCTTTATTAGCTCAGCAGATATACAGCCCCTTTAACTGCAACGACAACTCCCTGAATGGAATTTGTAGCCAGGTGGGGTAGGTCTCTTCTTCCAGGCAACCACTGACAGAACAAGAGGACACAGTCTTAAGATGCACTACAAGTTTTAGGCTGGACATTAGGAAGAAGTTCTTCACAGGAGTGATAGGGTATTGGAATGGGCTGTCCACAGAGGTAGTGGGGTGACCATCCCTGGAGGTGTTTAAGAAGACTGGAAGCGGTCCAGGTGACAAGGTGGTGTTAGGTCTCAGCTTTGACTTGATGATCTCAAAGGTCTTTTCCAACCTAGTTGATTCTGTGATTCAAGGCTATCAATGCTGTATCAGAATTCAAACTATTGCACCAAAACTGACTAGAAATAATTGTCTTCCAATGTACGCTCACAGAGCCTCCCTGAATACTCAAAAACTAAAATCACCTGAAGTGAAACTGATAAAGCTCATCATGGCCTCAATGCCTCACTGCTGTGCTGGAGATTACTTGTTCAGACCTTGTTGTTGTTTGAAATTCCAGAAAAAAAATCCTAATCTTCAAAATGAAACTAATGAAAATATTATTCATATTTAAACTGCAAAAACTATTACTTAACTAAATGCAAATAAATGTCAATGTAAATGGTTATAAAAAGTGGGCAGCCCACAGACACAAGACTAACAACACTTGCTAGCATCCTAAATTGTAAATAATGAACATAGGGTCTATCAAGAAAATCTCCTTGCCACTTAAATACTTTTTCCTACAGCAGCATATATTAACATTTAGCAGTTAAGGAGAAAATACTGAATGAAGGTGCTAAAATCACACTGTCACAGAAGGAATTTAAGATGCCAAGAGAAAGGCAGTCAGAAGACAGGCAACAGACAGGCCAGCATGATAAGCAATGCACAAGCCTGAAGTGTGAGAAGTGTGAGAGCAGAAGTGATAATTTCGAGGAGACAGCTGGTGGGCCGGGGGAGAGCCACCACTAGCAGCAACAGAAGGATTCAGATCAATTTTTTTTTTTCCTTTTTGGAAAGCACTAGTGACTGAGCATGGAACAAAGAAGAGCGGGTATCTGAGTACAGAAAATAAGGATTTTAACTTTTTCTGTAAATTAGGATTTGTCTCAAATCCAAAGACTTCAACCCTAACTAGCAACTAAAAATTCCTCATTTCTTCTTATGGTGGTTTAGTTTGGTTCACCATGTTAAAACATTCCTCAGTTGCTGAATTTTAAATAAAATATTGTTTTGCCTTTGTAGTCAAGTATTAAGCCCTGAGAACGTTCAGGTCACATTATCAAAGCAAGTTGGGGCTCAGTGATGCCGTGTCCAGCACGTTAGAAAGTAAGAAGAGTTTTGTGCATATTCCATGCAGAAAGCGCTCCTGTGAGCAGATGAACACCAGGCAGCTGAGCCAGCGGGAGGACACGGGCTCAGGGCCGCGCCGGGCTCCGCTCGGGCTCCTCGAGCGCCGGGCAGAGACGTTTCTTTGCAGCACAAAAGGTCGGCTGGGAAGAGCGCATCTCCCTTTTCCCTCAGCACTCACCGCCTGCGCTCCGCTGTCCCCAGCGCAGGCAGCCGCCTCCTCACGCCGGCGCTCGGCGAACGGCCGGAGAGCGTGGCCTTCACCGCGTCTACGGGCTCCCCTTTCCTGCGAAAGCAGCGCCCATCACAGTCACTCAATTCCAGCTGACTCGCTGGTCAAGTCACAGGTAAGAACGACAAGTCCGAGCTTCGCCGGCGCGACCGAAGCTCGGCTCCCGGCTCCTCCGGGCACCGCCCCGCGCCCGGCCCCGCCTCAGCCCCGCCGGCCCGACAGCGCTGCGTCGCGGCCGTCGGCGCAGGCGCGGCCATGGCGGCGGCCGGCAGTGCGGCGGCTGCGAACGACAGCCTGGCGCTGTGGGCCGAGGTGCGGGCGCTGCTGCCCCGCGCCGAGGACGGGCTGACCTTGGCGCTGAGCGGCGAGGTGGAGGACTGCGTCCTGCCGCTGCTGCGGCGGGCCCGCGCGCTGCTCTACGGCGCGGCGGGACGGCCCGGGACGGCAGCGGCAGCGGCGCTGGAGCGCCTCGGCGACGTCCTGCGTGACTACTCTTGGGAGAAGCTGAACGCGGGGCCATGGAGGGAGGTCGGCAAGGGCTGGCGCCAGGTGTACGCCTACGGCTGCCTCTTCGGGACGCTGGCCGAGGTGGCCGCGGGCCGGCCGCTGGCGCGCGCCGTGCGGCTCTGCGACCTGGGCCTGCTGATGGGCGCCGCCATCCTGGACAACGTCCTGGCGCGCCTGGTGCGCGCGCTGCAGCCGCACCTGCCCCGCGCGCGCGCCCCGGGCGGCCTCGCGCGCCCCCTTGCGGGCGCCGCTGAGGCGCAGCGGCCGCTCCCGAGCCCCCGGCTGGCGCCGCCGCCCGCCCTGCGGCCGGAGCAGCTCGTTCCGCGCCTCCGCCGCCCTTCGCTCCAGCATTTCAGAGACAACTACCTCCTTCCCCAGCGGCCTGTGGTCCTGGAGGGCGTCATGGACCACTGGCCCTGTATGAAGAAGTGGAGGTGAGAAGTAAATTTCTTCCCTGTCCAAGTTAAGGCGCGATCGTTCCCTGTGTTGGGTATCTTGATGCTCGATAGAGCGGCAGACCTCCACAGGCAAAGGATACCATGGACAGTGCATTTTGCTAGCAGCACAGTCCCACTGCTCTGTGGAAGTTGCTTCATAGATGAGGGAAGCTCTTCATAGCTTTCAGTGCAGGACTGTCTGGGGGCCAAGGTGACTCTTTGACCAGCCTCTGACTCTTCGTGGGTGAAGGCCACCTTCTGCTGTCCCAGCCTTCAGCCGTCCCAGGAGCCCAATGGCAACACCTGGGAACTCACGAGACGTGCACATTGCAAAGTGCCACTGGGCTACTCACAGCTCAGTGGATGTGTCAAGGAACACACATCAGTGCTTTTTACCCCTTGGAGCTTGCCAATAATTACTGCAATGGAAAGTGAATTTCAGAGCCAAGAGTAAGCGTGGTTGACTTTTTCATTCATAAGTCCAAGCACTGATGTTTGTCCAGTGTTGTGTTTGAGTGTTGAGTTTCAGACACCACTGTGCAGGACTGAGTAACAGCATTGTGCTGCCTGGTTAATGCACACAATGGTGCCCACATTTCCAACATTGAGCATCAAGTGTTTTTGAGGTGAAGGTCATGATTCCCCAGAAAAGGGGAAAAATCACTCATGCTTAGTTTAAATAATTGCTTTAGTTCAACAACCAAAGATAAAACTGAGTGCACACACTTGTTATGTCATAGAGATTTTATTCATTTTTGAGGGAAGGTACTGTACTGGTTAAGATTAGACACTTAACAAGATTAACTTCTCAGTTTAATTAATACAGTTGTCCATGGAGAGATGTATTTCACCCATCAAACTCATCCCTTCCCTCTGGCTACAATTGGAATTGGTATTATTGGCACCTGCTGACAGAGAGTTGATCTAATATTACTGAGTAAAAGATACAAGATTTTATGAAATGTAGCAGCAGGCAGAAAAAGATTGGCCATCCCTTCCCAAGAGATAGTAACAGCTTAAATCTTCTTCGTTTGGAAGGAAACAACTGGGGCAAACAGGCTTTTAAACCAAAACAAAACAGACAGTTGTGGGGTCATGTCCACACAAACCTGCCTGCTGATCTCCTTGTTGCTTGCAGTCTTTTATTCTGCCTTTTTATTCTGGTTGGTTTGGTTTAGACAGGAGAAACTCAGGGTAGTAGAATTTTATTACCCAACAAGATTGATTTGGATTGATTGTTTTACATTCAAAATTAGTAAGAGCAGTATAGAAGGTAATGGAACTTTCTTTATTTCAGTGTGGACTATTTCTGTCAAGTCGCAGGGTGCCGCACAGTCCCAGTGGAGTTGGGTGCTCGGTACACAGACGAGGAATGGTCTCAGCAGCTCATGACTGTCAGTGACTTCATCAGCCAGTATATCATGGATGAGGTCTGTTACACTTGTTTGTTTGATTTCCAAACACAGCACCGTGGTACTGGTAAAGACAACAGTTCTGCTTACAACAAACCTACTCAGAGGTCATATCAAGGGAGGGGGTGTGCTGTAAGCACAGTTCTGAATTAAAAGGTTTGACATATTTTTAAGACCTGAAGCTAGGAATAATTATAGCAACAATAGGTTTGAATTTTACCTATAATTAAATGTACAGTAGCTGGATTTTGATTAATATATACACACATACATATGTAGCAAAAACCTGACTGGTCGAATCTAAGAATAAGGGATCCTCAGCCAGCAGCGTTGTTCCTCTTTCTCATTAAGCTGCTTAGTGAGATTTAGGATTTACAAGCCATGAGGCAGAAAAATACAAAGCTGATTAGCGAAGTCTGGAATGTCCTTTAACAGGTGAGGATCCCAAACCCCAATTTCTGTTTCCTGGCCTTCTGGCAGGAAGGACTATGTGCCATAGCAAATTGCTCTGTGGTGCACCCTGGAATAGAGTATGGAAGTAGTTCCAGAGCGTGAAGGAGAACTGGTCTGTGTGCCAGCAGGGTCTGGCTAGAAAGATGCAGCGTATTGTCAGCTGTCAAGACTCCACAGGGAGTCCCAGCTTCCTTCAGTAACTCAAGCTGGATAATTTATTCATTGTAGAGACACACCTACACTCTCACAATTTCAATGGAGCTGTAAGTTGCTATATCTGAAGATACCTTATATTGTTGAAATAATTATATATAGTACTCTGAACAGGACACTGGAATTTACTCTAAGTAAATTCTATTCACCTCTAAGTAAATTAATCCACTGTCTTACCTGTATGTTACTATGATTTTTGTTTCTCTGCTGTCATTTCAGAACAATGTAGGATACCTTGCCCAGCACCAGCTTTTTGATCAGGTAAAACTGAGTGAATGTTTTAATCTTCCTACAGTCATGTCTTCCTTTTGTAGCACAAGTTGTCTCTCAAGATGTTGACTGTAGTCGATTGAAGGGCATTTGGAGAATTCGTAGTAATTCTTAAGTTTCTATTCCCATTATTTGAAGGAGCAGAGGGAGAAGTTTGTTCTATTTGGCTACGAGACATGGAAACAAAACCCTTTTGGGATGAAGACATTCAATCCTAGTGCTGTTTCAGTACAATGTAGCATATACTTAGGGGGATATCACCTGGAAAGCCCCTTTTGTAAGTCAGGGAAGAGATTTGGACAGGAAAATTTTCAACATTGGTATGTTTATCACAGTCTGAAATGTCATTCCAGTTTACCAGAGTTTATGTTAGTGGGAGACATAAAAAAGAATTTCACAGAGAAGCAAGCATAGTATAGAAGAGATCAGCTGCTCCTTTTCCATGAAGAGCAAACATTCTTGTGGGTGGCTCTGATTTCTGCAAAAGCAAAGTGTCTCTGAAGAATGGGGAAACCCTTTTCTTTCTCCCACTTCTCCTTCCAACAGAGTCTGCTCACTAGAACAGAAAGTTTGAGAACATTTCCTGCAGATTCCTAGTAGGTCAGCTACTTTTCTCCTACTCTTGCTGGACCAGTCAGTCATTTGTTTTCTTTGCATCCAGCCTTGCTCATCTGTTCTATGAATTACATATTTTGGCAAGTCAGCACATACCCTTTTTACATACTCTTTGTGGAAATAGATTCCAGAACTGAAAGAAGATATCAGTATCCCTGACTACTGCTGCCTGGGGGAAGGGGAAGAAGATGACATCACCATTAATGCCTGGTTTGGTCCAGGAGGCACAATCTCACCTCTTCATCAGGATCCCCAGCAAAATTTTTTAGCCCAGGTATGTATTCAAGTTACTCTACATATGCCATTAATGCAATACTTAGAGAAAATGTTTATGGTGTGTGTGTTAGAGACAAGGGGAGCACAACTTGAACAATCAAAGGATAGAGAACATGCAGGTACTATTTTGTTTCTTTATTGCATTTGTCATTACTGCAACTTCATGGTGAATGTAATCTTACAGACCACAAGTGTTGCTTATTGAGAGACCATTACTTACCCTTGTTTTACAGATGATAGATAGAAATCACAAGAAGCAGATTTTCCAAGGTCACACGGAATTTGTAACACAGTTGGGAAGAATCTGGATCCTGTCATGTTGTACTAAGTTTCTTTTTCCGGTTTTGTGGTTTGAGCCCACACGATCCCCAAGCCTCATGCAGCCACTTTCTCATCCCCCAACCAGCAGATGAGAGAGAGAATGGGAAGAGTAAAAGCCAGAAAACTTGTGGATTGAGGTTTAATAAGCAAAAACTGTGCACGTAGGCAAAGCAAAATGAAGAAATACTTGACTGCTTCCTATGGGCAGGCAGATGTTCAGTCATTCCCAGGAGAGTAGAGCCCATCATGCTTAACAATTAATGGGGAGGACTAACACTGTCACTCCAAACATCCTCCCTTTCTTCTTCTTGTTCCCCCATATACTGAGCATGATGTCATGTAGTCCGGAATATCCTTTGGTCAGTCAGTTTGGGTCACCTTTCCTGGTTGTATCTCCTCCCAGTTTCCCAGGCACCCCCAACTTCCTTGCCAACATGGCAGTATGATAAGCAGAAAAGCTTCAGGTCTGTGTAAACCCTGTTCAGCAATAACAAAAAACATTTCTGTATTATCAACCCTGTGCTCAGTGCAAATCCAAAACACAGTCCTATACCAGCCACTGGGAAGAAAACTAGTTCTACCCCAGCCAAAGCCAGCACATCTGGAAAGCAAAGTTTTGAGGTAGACTTAGGTGCATACTTTAGTCTGTTTCAGGTTACCCAGTAAAATATTCATGCATGC